AGAAGGTGCAGAGTGTGTTCTTTTAGACTTGGAGGAGGATGTTACAACCATTGAGTTTGGCTGAGGGTGGGAGAATAAAAATTCAGCTCCGGTCTCCTGAACTCTGTACATGTGGTCCAGGTGTCTTGTTGACACTGGGGCTGACGAAGGCTTTTCCCATGGTGCTTTTGCGGCTTGTAAAAGGACCGTAGACATGGGTAGTAAAGTAGTGGAGGTATCCAGTTGCACGATATCGAAGGCTGCATCTGTCACCTGCGGTTGTTGTTGGACGACTGAGAGGCCTAAAGAATGAGCCATTCTCTTGACGAGGTCCGTATAGGACGTGACATTGTCGGATGGGGATATAGGCAGATCATCTGCGACAGCCTGGTTAGGAGACTTGTGGTCAGGAGAGGTGTGAGCCTCAGAGGTGTCCGTATCCGAGTCGTCTTCCACAGAATCAGAAGAGTCCTGATCTGGAATTTGAACTGGAGTGAGCTCGGTTTGACTGGTTGAGGGGTTTGGTGGCATTACTTGGGGATTGGGAGGACGACTGAGTTCCGGAACATGGTGGGAAGGATTGTCGGCCGGAGGACGAGACAGAGATGCTGAAGGTCTTGATTTGTAGGGCAACCTCGATCTGTGGGCAGAGTGGGATGAATAACAATCCCAGTCGGAATAACTCGCCGGAGTCAGCCATGACATGGATGGTGGATAAGCCCCATAGAGATACCTCAGTTGGCGTTGATCCCAAGACAGAGGTGGTGGTGGGGGTAGAAAGACTCGGGAGGATCGACTTGTGGATCTTGGGCGTCTCGGAGACAAAGCGACAGCCTGCCTTTGAGAGCAGTCTGCATACCTAAGGGATTGCCTTTCCTCATATGTTCCCCCACGAGCACTTCGGTCCGGGACCCAACATCTCCTGGCAATGCTAGGTCCCAAAGAGGCCAGGCTGGCCGCTACCAGGGCCAGGGCTTTCTCGGTAGCGGCTCCTATCTGGTGGAACGAGCTCCCGGAGATCTGGGCCCTGCGGGACCTTGTCCAGTTCCGCAGGGCCTGTAAGACGGAGCTCTTTCACCAGGCGTATGAGTTGGAGCCGCCACTACCATCACCATTATTCCATCTTTACCTGGCCCTGGATGAGGGAACATCAATGCTTCTCTGGAGCAGACGATGCCGAACGGTTGAAAATGCCATCTGTGAAATTTCATGTTGAACACCTAGAGCACTATAGTCAGTAACTCGAATGTTTTGTACTGTTGGGATTTTAAATGGTTTTAATTATGTTTTATATTGGCGTTTGCCCCTATGTAAGCCGCCCTGAGCCCGCATTGCGGGGAGGGTGGGGTATAAATTGAATAAAATAATAAAATAAATAAAATAAATAAATAATCGTGGTCATCGATATCGACAGGTTCGAGACGCAGACGTGGAGGGTGATGCTGCATGGTAGTAGAGGCATGTCGATTCCGACGTGAATCGAATGTCGGGAGCCTCTGACACCATCGATGTTGATGACCGGGATGGAGAGGGAGAAGGCTCTGCATCCATGTGATGACTTAGGAGCTCTACCGTCTCGATATCGGAGTAAGGACGCTCCAATTGTTGTATAGCGAAGTCCAAGAGTTGAATGGTTGGTATCGGTGGAGGGGGATGGACCTCCGGTATCGATACTGCCATTGGAGCGGGAGGCACTTTAGGGGCATCACCCAGTGCAGACACCGCTACCTTCCCCTTCTTTGCCGCCTTTAGGGACTTAGAGGAGCCCTTTTTTGCGGACTTGTGCTCCTTACTTGGCTTGGACTTCTTCTTCAGTAAATACAGAATAAATTGCTGAAAAAGTTCACTAAGATATATACAAAGATATTCAATGAAGAATGTAAATTTCTCAAATTTCCATGATGTAATTTAATACTTGTTTTCAACAGGTGCCAACAGATGTACAGCACAGGAACAGGACGAACACTTCTCGAGTGTATCTGCGTTCGTTTCGAGAATGGTCTTTGTCAAACTTCAATTTTCAATGAACTTCTCACAATTTAATTCACCACAAGGGTATCCATACGTTCAGACATGTTGTCCATGGGAAAGAACTTGTGTGTATAGGAGCTGTGTGAGCCATTCTGTTGGCACCTGTTGAAAACAAGTATTAAATTACATCATGGAAATTTGAGAAATTTACATTCTTCATTGAATATCTTTGTATATATCTTAGTGAGCTTTTTCAGCAATTTATTCTGTATTTACTGTACTCTATTGCTGTACCCCGAGTTTCTGTGTTGGACTTCTTCTTCACCAGCGTGGAAGCGGAGGATTGCGCCTTCGATGCCGGTGGCTTCAATGTCAGTTGGCTGATGTCGGAGGAAGGTCTTGATGCCGGAGCTGTCGATGTTGATGGTCCCTCGGACTCCATCACTGAGGGGGGGTGTAACGTCGACTCAAGTAGCACCACTTTAAGGCGCGCAGCTCGGTTTTTTCGTTTCTGGTTCGAAAACCTAGCACAGTGCTGGCAAGACTCAGGTCGGTGAGATTCCCCCAGACAAAAAATACAGAGGGTGTGGCGGTCAGGTGGAGCAACTTTACTGCCACAACCCTTACAACGGTTAAAAAAGCCCCACTTAAAAAAGCCCCAGTTTGGTGCAGTGGTTAAGTGTGCGGACTCTAATCTGGGAGAACCGGGTTTGATTCCCCACTCCTCCACTTGCACCTGCTGATGTGACCTTGGGTCAGTCACAAGCTCTGGCACAGCTGTCCTTGAAAAAGAGCAGTTTATGTCAGAGTTCTCTCAGCCCCACCCACCTCACAGGGTGTCTGTTGTGGGGAGGGGAAGGGAAAGGAGTTTGTAAGCCGCTCTGAGACACCTTTGGGTAGTGAAGGGCGGGGTATAAATCCAATCTCTTCTCTTCTTCTTCTCCTTAAAAATTAAAAAGGAAGAAGAGGGGGGGGGGAGCCCGAAGGCCAAACTGAGGTAACCGGCAACTTTCCCCTCAACGAAAAACAACTTTTTTTTTTTAGTTTTTCTGAAGAACAAACAAAGAAGATTAGGAAAAGGAAGAAAAGGAGGAAAAAATCCGAAGAACCGTGAGGCAAATAGCCAAAAAAGTGAACCAATCAGACCGATGTAGAAAAAGTCTTACCAACGCAGCGGTAAGAAAGGAACTGGCGGGATGTCCGCGCCCACCCCTCTGGGCATGCGCGGTGGGGGTCCTGCGCATGCCCGAGGTCTGGGCGCGAAAATCCGTTAAAGAGCTTGCTACAATGCTGATCGATCCAGCACATGCGCACTAGATCTCATGGGTGTGAAGCACAGAGACCACATCAAAGATCTAAGGGACCTGTCTGGAGATGAAAACCCACTTCGCTTCAGTTCTAGACAGCTTCACTGGCCCAAAGAAAAACACCATGTACTTCCCCCCACCGCCACCACTAAAATTAGGATCAGTCAAAATAACACAAGAGCACTGTGTAGAGGTTAGAGAGTGTCAGATTAGGATCTGGGAGACACAGGTCACTCTGACTGGCTCAGGGTCACCCACTGAGGATCCATGACATGGCACTGCCTCTCAGCCTCAAATACCTCACAAGGTGGTGGTTGTGAAGATAAAACTGAGAAGAACAATGCTGTAAAGCCGCTTTGGGTCCCCATTGAAGAGAAGAGCAGGGTATAAATGTCTACACAATAAATAAAGCAAAATGTACATTTTTGTGGTCTCCATCAGGGTGGTTGTTAAGGGTGCATATGATTGTTCAGGCCCTCATCTTAAGGCTTCACCTACAACCTACACAGAATTCCAGGCAGATCTGAATAAAACAGTGCTGGTATCAGGTTATAGCTTCAGCCTGCTGGGAAGCAGGAAAATGTATCCCCTCCCATGAAAACATAAAAAACAATACTTGATTAAATGTCTTTGCACCAAATAAAAAACACAATTTTTTTTAGAAGACTGAGAACTGAGGAAAAACATGGTAGTTGTATCAACAAAACCGGAGATTAATTTTAGATAATGCGCTAAGTAAAGAGTCAATGGAAGCCAGATTGGGTAATATTTCTCGGTAGTAAGAAGGCAAGAAACGCCATAAACACAATTTCTTTGCAGGTTATTTTTTTTCCAGTTGACGCACATTTCTCTTAGTTGGCTAAATTCAGGTATTTCTGCATTACACAAAGATTATTGCTTTTGGAAATACCTGAATTTAGCAAAAAAAACCCCAAAAAACAGAGGAATGCTTTGAATGAAGCAAAATGGTCTGGGAAGAGACCATGATCTCTAAATGGCCAACACTGTGATAAAAAAGCAAAAAGGAATGCAGTTGCTACATGGCGCACACACCCCCAATTCCAACAATAGAAGCTAAACTTGTTGATGAATGAGTGTCCTGGTTTGAACCCCTAGACAGTTTTATATGCCTTCATAGGAAACGGTTTAGTGAAATTAAGGGGGGGGGGGGAATCTAGCATGACTGTGAATAGT